AGAGGAACAACATGCAGACATCTTAACAAAAGCACTTCCTAAGCTTAAGTTTGAGTATTTGAGACAGAAGTTGGGAGTTTGCAGTTTCAGAGTCAAGGAGGAGAATTGTTGACCAAGAATGACTCTAGAAGCAAAATAAAATCTCAGCAGAATCTGAGTTTGTTTACAGTATTAGAGTTTGTTTCTTGTTACTAGTCTAATGACTATTTTTATTCCATGTAACAGAAAATCAGATATCCTAGGAGAATATCTTGCAATTCTGTTTATTCCTTATTGTATAAATAATTGTATTGAAAATGAATAAAGGAGTGTGTTCTGCTGCAACTACAACATAAAAGTTTTGTTTTCTCTTCAATATATACTACAGAGGTTCTGAAGAGAATAGCCGAGTCCAAGATAAGTATGCATGTCGGACACGCACCTATGTCGGATATGTATCCCGGGTCCGAGCGACATAGAAAACATCTGTGAAGTGAATCAACTCTGTTACATTGCTCAATTGTTTATTTTCTTTTGCCTTCCTTTCTTTTTTGCTTTTGGCTTGCGGGGTGGCTTGTTGTTGTCTTGTTAGGTTGCGAGGTATGCTGGGGAAGAACAGCTAGTGGAAGCATTAGACGGATCAGATGTTGTGATTATTCCAGCAAGATTTCCAAGAAAACCTGGAATGACTCGTGATGATCTCTTCAAAATCAATGCAGGAATTGTCAAATCTTTATGCACAGCCATCGCAAAATACTGCCCTAATGTGAGCTCTTTTTCTGGGATATACTTGTTCAAGAAATGAGAATTCGTTGTCTTGTTTCCTCTGCTTCGATGGATATGTTGATTGTTGATAATTTCGATTTCATTGATGGGATTAGGCTCTGGTTAATATGATAAGGAATCCAGTGAATTCTACTGTCCCGATAGCTGCTGAAGTTTTCAAGAAGGCAGGGACATTTGACGAGAGGAAGCTGTTTGGTGTGACAACGCTTGATGTAGTCAGAGCTAAAACTTTCTATGCTGGGAAGGTGAAAGTTCTCGTGGCTGGTATACCTATTTTCTTGCTTTAGGTTGCTTTCATGTTTATGTACACCTTTTAAGGAAATGTATGCCTTTGTTTTCTATTGCGTCTTCCTGTTGTAAAGGTTAATGTGCCAGTAGTTGGCGGGCGTGCTGGCATAACCATCCTCCCTATTTTCTCTCAGGCCTATCCTGCATCCTTCTTCTGTTTTCATTTTAAGTGATTTATAAAAATAAAATCTTTGAGATAGTACTGATGTCACTAGCTTGAATCTTTGGGGTGTTGAATTATGCCCACGACCGCTCCCAAATCCAGTAATTTATCAGATGATGACATAAAGGCTCTCACTAAGCGAACACGGGATGGAGGAACTGAGGTTGTGGAAGCGAAGGCTGGAATGGGATCAGCAACACTTTCCATGGCGTAATGTCCTGATACCTCTCCATCAGTCTTGTCAGCTAAAAAAGCAAAAAAAATTGCTATCATTTACTAAATGGCTATTCTCATAAACTGTTAAGCAAACTAAGAACAAATAACTTGACATCAATTTATCCAAATCAATTTATAATTCACAAGTTTTAATTCTTTTTTCTCTTTGTGCAATCAAAATCAGGATCAAACAATCAACAAATATAATGCAATAATTACACAAATCAATATCAAGATTTTTACATGAAAAACTCAATACGGGAAAAAACCACGGAACCGTAGTCCATCTAAAAACTTCAATTATCAACAAATAATGGGTTCACAATTATTCTCCCTTAGATTCAACTAAAGCCTACAACATACATATCATCAAGAACAACTTATTATTGGAATACAACAAGATTCTTGGAATACAACAAGATTAAAGAAGAAGTATTTGAAAAAAAAACTCACAATACTGACACCCCCGTTTTATGTCAAAACGGTCAGCTTCCACAACACCAATCTTCAATCCAACTATTCAGAATGTAGAGTAACGTGTCTAGAAGCTGTTGTAAAAATCTCAGTCTGATACAACGATTAACGAGCTGGAAAACAAAGAATGAAGATAGCCAATTGAGCTGTCTCAACTTCCTCTCTTTCTCCCGTTTTTTATCTTCTCTCTTCTATTTTATCTACTGCCTTCTACAATAAACTTTAGGTTTTTAATTCCAAGAGACATCTATGCTGTCTCTTGACAATTAATATGGTGATCTCACCATCACATTGTGCAGAACCACACACAACAAATTTCCCCCTCACGCAGCATGTGAGGAATTCGTCATACTAGCGATCAACATGTAAGCTTCAATTTAGGAGGCTCTACCAAGCCTACTTTCCTTATGCAAAATTCAAACTTGTCACTTAAATGTTCAAGTTGTTTATGCCATAAATCAGTAGAGTAATCTTCAATTGCATTCACCTCCCCTTTGATCACCTTGGCTTGTGACATGTAGAGACTCATCTTCTTCTTTTTAGCAACAATTAAAGAATTTATGGAGAGCTTTTATTTACCATCTCCAAAGTAATTATAATAGCCTTCTTCATCAAGAGTACTTGTAAAGATCAAGTGTAGGCGCGTATCAGACACATACCTAACATCTTTGAGTAATAACTTGCACCCAGTATTGGTTTCTAACCAAATGTCTCCAATGCTCACAACACTAGTCATCCCTTGATTTCCCATCCTAACTTGACCAAAGTCACCAGCAGTGTAGGATGTATAAAAATCACATCAAGATGTAACGTGATAAGAAGTTGTTGAATCTGCAATCTGGGTGGTATCTTGACGTGCAAGATTAACACAACCAGCATTGCAAACAATGGTAACATCATCATCAAATACAACTGCAGTTGTACCATTCTCTTCATTCTTGTCTTCATCTTTACCATTTTTATCTCTTTTGTACTTTTTACAATCTTTTTTTAATATGTCCAAGCTTGTCACAATAATAACACTTAATTCCCTTCCATGACTGAGATCTTCCTCTTGGCTTCCATTTACCTTTTCTATTGCTGGATTCTCTATCTTGCTTGCCATGAGAGAACCTACTTTGACTTCTCCCTCGGCTTTCTATAACAAGTATATGAGACTCGGAAGTGCTTGTCCATTTCCTCCTCTTCTCTTCATTAAGGATACAATCCTTCACTATTTTCAAAGTGATCTTTTCATTCGAAGTAAAATTGCTAAGTGACACCACCAAAGTCTCCCAATTACCCGGCAATGAACTCAATAGGATTAGTGCTTGCATCTCATTGGCTAACTCAAGATTCATCAATGACAGCTGATTCAAGAACCCGTGGAATTCATTTATATACACTGAAGCATCTTCACCATCTTTGTACTTCAAATTTACAAGATCTTTAATTACAAAAACCTTGTCTTGTGCACTCTCCTTAGCAAAGGTTTCTTCCAATATCTTCCACACTGTATAACAGTCATGTTCTTGAGAAATATGATTAATGGACTTAGAAGATACCTATTTTCTAACATAAGCAGTCACCTTTCGATTAAGCTCATTCCATTTTACCTCATCTATCTCATCAAGCTTTTTTCCCTTTACACTCAAGTGGTAAAGCCAAATCATTGCAATATAAGCGATCCTCCATCATTGTTTTCCATAGAAAATAATTGAAGGAAGTGAGCTTTATCATGTTTGAATCTTCTTTTTCCATTTTAATTGCACAAGAAATTTAATCTACACAATCAGTGCTCTTGTCACAACCCGAATCCCGGATCCATGACCGGCACATAGGCAAGGTTCCCCTCCAAGGTTCCATACCTATGCGAACCCAAAACTTACACACAAACTTATCATAACTCAATCAGAGTTCAACGCAGCATTAATAACAAAATCAACTTTATAATATAATGGAATTGTCTTAATACAAGAGTTAATATAATTTCGTAGTTTTGGAGCACTAATTAGACATAAAGGAAAATGTACGAATTACAACCAAAAGAGCAGGTTTTGAAGGTCCAACAAAAGTGACCTGCTATCAAGCTATAAGCCTGAAAATGATAAATAATGAGAGTGTGAGTTCAACGTACATATTGGTTCATATCAAGAATTTAGATTCAACAAATAATCATGTTTATCATAACAAGGATAATAGTCAACATATATATTATCAAGAAGCATGATCCAATTCATATTAACAAATCAAATATTTATAATATTTCTCATGCATATGGAAAATTATCCACTCACCTGACTCGAAGCAAACAAAAGTCAAAAGCAGACACAAGAGAAAATCCTACTAACGTTCCACCGGTAGAATATCAGGATTATCTGAATATAATGGAGACATGTTCAAGAATGACTCAAAATAATATATAACCTATTTAATACACTTATTTAAGGATGTATTCCATAACCCTATATGTTTTTGAACTAACTAGTTATTTTCCAAAAAAAACCCAAAAATTAACGGTTTTCTCAAAATCTAATCCATAATAAAACAAATAATAAAATTGGTAATACTTCACTAACTAACCCTCAATTATTCATCAAACCCATCTGCAAAAGCTAATATTACAGCTAGGGACTAATCAGTAATTTATCATATTTTTAATGGTCAAATTGTAACTTTATCCATTTGGAGGACCAAACTAAAATTATCATAAATCCATGACTATACTGAAATTCTGACCATAATCAATCCCCATTTCTGTCCAGATCATCTCATTACACTTCAAGGACCATTCTGGAATTTTATCAAAATTGTTTAGGGTTAAATGGTAATTTTGTTAAATTGAAAGTGTTAAAATTGTATAACTATATAGGAATTCTGCCCATAATTTATCTTTTATTCTGTTCAGAACCTCGGAATATGCCCCAGGGACCAATCTGTAAATTTTTCAAAGTTTGGGGACTAAACTGTAATTTCCACAAATTGAAGGACCAAAATGAATTTTCGTCATCTTCAACCTCCAACCCAGAATTTCAACAGAAACCCACTGTTCTTTCCTTATTTCTAACATAATTTCACCATTCAAACAAAATCATAACTCAAAATCATCATCTTTCAATTCAATGCATTACAGCTCGAATACTACTTTGTTAGAAAAACTAAGAACAAATAATCAGACGTCAATCTACCCGGATTAATTCACAAGTTCCAATTATTTTCCCTCTTTGTGCAATCAAAATCAGGATCAAACAATCAACAAATATAATGCAACAATTACACAAATCAACACCAAGATTTTTACGTGGAAAACCCGATGCTGGAAAAAACCACAGGACCGTAGTTCATCTAAAAACTTCTACTATCAACAAATAATGGGTTCACAACTGTTCTTTTTTAGATTCAACTAAGGGCCACAATATACATATCATTAAGAACAACCTATTCTTGGAATACAACAAGATTAAAGAAAAAGTATTTGAGAAAATCTCACAACACTGACAGCCTCGTTTTATATCAAAACGGTTAGCTTTCACAACACCAATTTTCAATCTAACTGTTTAAAATAAAGAGTAACGTGTCTAGAAGCTGGTGTCAAAATCTTAGTCCGATCCAACGATTAAAGAGCTAGAAAACGAAGAATGAAGACAACTAATTGAGTTGTCTCAACTTCCTCTCTTTCTCTTGTTTTTTTCCTTTTCTCTTTTATTTTCTCTACTGTCTTCTACAGTAAATATTAGATTTTTAATTCCAAAAAATAGCTATTAATGTGGTGGTCTCACAATTACATGGTGCGAGACCACACACAATATAAACAACTTTGATTCCTATTGTAGCTACGCTGGAGTTGTCTTTGCTGATGCTTGCTTAGAGGGGGTCAATGGAGTTCCAGATATTGTTGAATGCTCCTTTGTGCAATCAAGCATCACTGATTTGCCTTTCTTTGCCTCTAAGGTGAGTCAATGGTCAGAAGCTAGGCACCAGCTTCACATCACAAGCTGGGCTTGATACGGATAAATCTCTAAGCTGATTGCTGCCGTGATGCTGCAGGCAAGGCTAGGAAAGAATGGCGTGGAGGAAGTCTTTGGATTGGGTCCTCTTTCAGACTATGAACAACATTACAACAGGGTCTTGAAAGCCTCAAGCCGGAGCTTAAAGCTTCTATAGAGAAGGGAGTTGAGTTTGCCAATCAAAATCAATTGGACAAGTTATGCAATATTTTTTAATCATATTTTGGAACAGTATAGTCACTGTTTTCCCGGCATATGAAAATTTAGTTAGTCTATGGATTTTTCAAGTTTCAAATTTAATTAGTCACTATTTTGGAATCAAATTTCTTATGAAAAATTCAACTACTATGGAGATGGATTTAATTAGTCTAGGACAGATTTATAGACAAAATTTCTGTCATGGTGGAGTGTCTTTTAGTGTGTTTCAAACTCAGTCGATGAGTTGTTGTTTCAATGGCAAAATAATGATCAACGGCAAGTTTAAGAGAAAGTCATCGCCACTACTCTCATATAGTATTGCTTGGAGTATCTGATTAAGAACCTCAATAAGGACACATTACACATGAATGAATAAAATATATACAAAAAAGAGGGGGGACACCTTATTCAATGTGACACACTTTGCAACCTTCACCATGTTCTTGTAGAATGGATATGAAAATTGAAAGGTTCAAAAGCTTTAGCCCATATAGCAACAGACTTGGGCATAGACATATTGAGGCTCGAGTGAAGCTCAGAAAAGAAGTTGGGGTTTTCGGAATAATTCACTGCGCATTTCTCAATTGACTTGAATGTCTTCGGATTGGTGTTTTTACAACGTCGAGACATTTCGATGTTGTGCACAAAAATCTATCTCATTTGCAGCTCTTTTGGGATGATAAATTATTGTATAAAAATTTGAGAAATACACATGCCAAAATGACTAGTCCTGCCAAATACTTGATGAACCTGTAATAAGGAATTTCATCGAGCATCTAACACCCTTTATTGAACCTCTCCACTGATGTCATGTTTACCAGTATCTTGTTCAGAGTTTCATCGACTTTGAAAATTGGACCCCATTTGATGGCATGTTTAACGTTGGGAAACGTCTAGGGGTTATGAAAATGGAAACTCATGAACATTAATTTTCTTGAACAGTTTATGAAAATTGGACCCTATTTGAGTTTATGAAGTAACTTAATAAAACGTCTAGAAGAGGCACCTCACCTTCAAGGAGAATACCAAGCTTCATGAGAGAATGTGCAGCCTTGCTAAACATGAGGCACCGGAATCTTGTCAAAGTATTATATGCATATGCTGACGTTGATCTTCAATGTGATGATTTTAGAGCTCTTGTTTATGAGTTCATGATCAATTAAAGTCTAGAAGAATGGTTGCATCCAAACCAAACATTGGATCAGGAAGTGGATGGGCCAAGAAATCTTGATCTCATTCAGAGGTTAAACATTGCAATTGATGTGGCTAACGCGCTCGACTATTTTCACAACCAATGCAAAATGCCTATTGTTCATTGTGATCTTAAGCCAAGTAATGTTCTTCTCGATGGAGATATGACTGCTCATGTTGGGGACTTTGGATTGTTAAAGTTCCTTTCTGAAGCATCCTGTCAGTCATCTTCGAGTCAGACAAGCTATGTAGGATTAAAAGGCACCGTCGGCTATGCAGCTCCCGGTAACATACAACTCTAGAGGGATACATATTCCATTATTTACAAGTTTTGTCTAGCATTTTATCTCCAGGGTCATAAAAAAACTCTGATTAATTAACGATTCAAACAAACTAACTGCAGAGTGTGAAATCACCCTAACATTGTTGACAAAATCAACAATGTTTGTCAACAATGTTAGGCACAAATTTGTCAACAATGTTAGGCACCAATTTGTCAACAATATTAGGCATAAATTTGGTGCCACCTACCTTGCCCTTGTCTTTTGCATGGATGTTTGCCTATAAATAGGCAATGCATCCAAGCATTATAGACACACCATAAGAGAGAAAGAAGAGAGGGTGAGAAGAGAGTAATCCCACAAAATTGTGAGGTATTTGTGAGATAGTAAGTGAGGTGTTTTCTCCTAATAATAGAGAGATTTTTGTTGTTCTCCTATTATTAGAGAGAAGTTATATTCCCACATTACTTAGTAAATCCTTCTATACTTGTCCGTGGACGTAGCCAAATTGGGTGAACCACGTAAATTCTTGTGTGTCATTTCTCATTTTATCTTGTCCCTTACCTTTTGTTTTGTCGGGTTTGCATGCCAGCATCCTAACA